CAAACTAAACCAACCAAATTTCGCTCATCTTGAAAAGCATAATGCAAATTAGTTATCCATCGGCGATCACCATGTACCAAGACATCTCGTTCCTCTCGAAAACATGCTGTCTCGGCTCGTTTTAACATTTCCCATTTGTTTAGTATTTTCATCGCATATACCTAAAGACAAAGGTTAAAAAAAAAAAAAAGTATATTTAATATTTTATTTCAACTTTTTTTTGATATTAGGAAAATAATCACATATTAAATTTGAAATTGAAATTCTTAGTCTAATTGAAGAATTAATTTTATTAATTAAAATGCATAAGAATGAATTTAATGGATTTTGATAAAAGACCAAAACAAGAAAATTTTCAAAATTTCCTTCTAAAATACAAAATTGACTTTACACTTTATCTTATACACATCAAATGATTTACCCTTTCGGTATTGCGCATTCGCACAACAGCTACTTCGCCAAATGCACCACGTCCGATTACTTTCAGTACTTCGAAATCTTCTCGACATAACCGTAATGCTTTCGCTTTTACTATCACTGGTTTTACTAAAAGAAAGTTAAAATATAATTTTATTTTATTAAATTAATATTTCAGAATTTTTAAAATTAAAATTCATCCCATCATTGATCTATTTCATCATTTTCAGTTAATATTATCATCTTTAAATACAACACTTTATTGAGTTTCGTAGATAATTGTTAGCATAAATCATTTAATTTGATGTCATCTTACACTGCCACTTTTTAATGTGAAAGAAAGGAAAACATTAAGAATATCCAAACATTTCAATTCAACATGAGGTAAAATATTATTAATCACTTATACTAACAGACTTTATAATGATCTAAAATTATTCAAACAACTAAAAAAATGAAAAAAGAAAAAAAAAATTAAAATCTTAAATTTAAAGTTTCACATTTGTTTGTAATACAAGATCAATATTATCAAGATTACAATATGATGATTCAATTCTTAATCTATTTAGTCATATATTACATTAAAATATTAAATTTATGGAAATTAAAACACAAATCTATTCAATAACTATTTAAATTAAAATTTCTCAATTAAATTCTTAATCATAAGCTATATTACATGGTTTCTTTTTCTTTCTAATTAAAATAAAATAAAATATAAAACTAACCATATTCAACAAAATCGGCAATATTTTTCTCCTTACGTAATGTTGAACTACAGCATTCATCAAATAAGCATATAAGAGCATCCAATAATGATTCAATGGAAAAAACATCTTCACCACGTGAAACGTTCAAATAACACTGTTCTAGTTGTTTCAAACGTGTTGAACCAGCTTCACGTAATGACATTGTTTACGTTCAAGACTTCCGTCAAACTACACCTTCTCGTAACACTGCAATAATAATAGTAATAAATAAACTAGAAATTTTTCAAAAAAAAAAAAAAGAGAATTAACAATATATCATGTATATTCGGAAAAGTTAAATATGATAAATCTCAAGAAAAAAAAATTCTTTACATTTAATAATATTATTTAATTAAAATTTATTAATTAATTATGTAGAAGAATCTAATTAGCACTAAAAACTAATAAGAATAAATGTTATGATTTAAGTATTGGTGAAATATTTAATGAAGAAAAACAAAAAGAAATCATTTAGTTAAGTAGCAATTATATTGCACTTTTTTCTCTCAAATTAAAATAAAACATTAGCTTATCCAATCTCAGTTAACATTTCATATGTAAATTATAAAACTTTCGTCCGACAAAGCAAAATATTCTTTATTCGAATTATTTATAACAATTATTCAAATTTATTATATCTATGTTCACTTTTTACTTACTAATTACTTCATTTCTTGCATATATCATATAAAAAAAAAAAAGAGAAACGCATTTAATATTCAGTAACAAAACATAAATCGTTAAAATCAACAAAAAATAAGTTTTTCTCATTGCTAGCATAGATGCATTGATCATCAATACTAATTATTATTATTATTGTCATTATGCAATTTATTTTTTAATAAATATTAAAAGTTAAAATTGAAGGAGAGGAAATTTTTGTAGTAAATGTAAATTTTATAATCTATATTCTCCTTTTTATTTCCTAACTTATTTTTAAATTTCTTAACAGAATTTTCCGTTTCTTTTACTAATTTTTCTTGAATTTTTCATTGCTATTAAACTACCGCAATACAATTATCCTACAATTTCTTACATTTAATATTCAATTTTCAATCTTTACTACATATAAGTATTACTATCATTTTTCTCGAATAGTTGTAAAATCAAAATCATTCCGTTAAAATGTTCCGATAATTGCTATTCAGCTTGATATTTACCGTAAAAATGAATAAAAAAAAATAATAAAATTTTCAAATTAATTGGGATTTGACAATAACATATTTAAAAAAAAAAAGTATTTCAAGGTAACCCATCAAAGTATTTAATCCTTATTTCAAGGTAACCCATCAAAGCATTTAATCCTTAGTTCAAAGATAGTAATCTTAAAAAACAATAGCTACTTGAAATATTACAATACATAAATGATTATCTTAAACTAAAAATTAAAATTAAAAATTTACATCAACTAATTACTCAATCCAATCATTTCATATATAATTACTATAAGATCAATTTTAGATTATACATAATAGATTGTTATTTGTAAACAAACATTGCTATACAAACTATCTTTTTCAAATAAAATTTAAAAAAAAAGAAATGCAATGAAACTAAAGAGTGGATAACTGAAGAGGAGAAAGAATTGAAAATATAAAAAAAAGGAATGAGAGAGAGGGAGAAAGAAAGAGAGAAGGAGGGAGAGAGAGCTAGTGAAAAAGAATTAAAAGGAAACTTGAAATGATTAAAAAAAAACCCATTCCAGTCATCCCTCTTAAATTTTATTCCATTCTTCATCGGAATTTCATTTTTATTTTTTATTTTTTTTTTCAAAAAAAGGACAAAAGAAAAAAAACATACATATACTTATTTACATAAATTCATATCCATAGAGAATACTTGCTAAAATGAGCAACCAACTCATCACATCAACTATATATAATCAATATTGATTTATCTATTTTATTTTTACTTTTAAAAAAGAGGAAAAAATTAACAAAAAAGAACAAAAAAAAATGAAAAAAAAAAAAAGAAAAGAAACAAAATGAACAAAATATTCTTGCTATTTTTTTCATTTGAAGAGAATAAAGAAAAAAAGAAAAAAGTTACAACTAGAAAATATTTTTGAAAAAATTCTTCCAACTTTTTTTTTCAATAATGACAGAGTGATTTTCAAACTTTTCCTCTCTCTCTCCCTCTCATTATTTCATTCACCTCTTTATTTTTTTTAAAAAAAAAATATATGCCATAGAGACAGAAAAGAGAGAGAGAGAGGAAAAAAAAAAAAAAGAGAAAGACCTCCAACTTGGTATTATCAAAGGAACTTATCACTCATAAATATTGTCAGCATTTATTTATTTTTCGTTTTTAAAATTTAGGAAAAAAGAAAGCAAAATTCTTAATTTGTATCTAAACACTTTTTCTTTCTCTCTCTTTCCCTCTCTCTCTTTCTTCGTACTTTGTAATATGTACGAAAACTTCTCATTAGAATGTCATATGATATAATGAAAAACTAATTATCTACAAGAAAAAGGTAAAACAAAACATTAAAATAAAGTTTTCTTATTGCATTGATGTATCATTTATTTTAAAATAAATAAACAAATCTATGCTTAAATAAAACACAAAAATTTAATTAAATTATATAACTGAATGAATTCAAAAATAAAAAAGTTAACGTGGAATATGAATAAATGATAGACATGATAATCATAAAAATTTTCCTTTGGTGCAATATAAAAAAGAATAAAGATAAATAATACTCTAACCTCTAATTTATGAATATTGATTTCTGTTTTTATCTCTGCTACAATCTTTCTATAATTTAAATTATAAATAAAAAAAATAATAAATAAACTAAAATGAAACAAACTTGAATAAAGAAGAGAAATATTGAAAGAAGGAAAAATATTAATCAATTAGTTAAAAAGCAGTTAAAAGTTTCATTTTGAAATATATGTCACTTTTCAATTAATGCTAATATTTTATGTTGCAATGAAAATTAAATTTAGTAGCAAAAAAAAAAAGAAAGTGTAGAAATCAACAGAAAATAATTCCTAAATCATTATGATTTAGAAGTTTGTATAAGTTATAATTTAACCTAATGATTCATTCATTTATTCATAATAAAACTTGCAAAGAATACAGAAAATTTTTAATTTCCACTCATTTTGTGCTAATAACAGAAGAAAAAAAAAGAATTAAATTATCAATCATTCAACTTCTCTAACCCTAAATTAAACAGACATATTTGGAAGTGCAAACAAATGAAATAATATGCAAACAGAGCAAACAAATATAGAATTGAATCAAATAAGCATTAATAGTTGCATGAATATATAAAAATTCACTTCCCTAATGCTTAATCAAAATAAAAATTGTTACATTTTTATAATAATATAGCGCTTTTCTTGAGAATTTTTCCATATATACAATTAAATAAATATCGTTTTCTTTTATTTATTTAAAAAGTTTTTTTTTTTTTTTTTTTCTGTTATTATTCATAAAAAGTACTACCTCTCTTTTTTCTTTTCTTTTTTGATCATATATAAAAAATATTCCATTTCATTTTTGTATGTAACTTCATTCCTTCCCATTATTTATTGCTAGATTTTTCAATTAACAATAAATACTAGTTTTGATTCCATTAAATTTTATCATTAATACTTATACAATAATAGAACATCATCTTTTCCCATTAATGACATATATCTTAATCACATAATTTCATTCATTTAACAATCCTGATATCAATAAATTTTTTTATGAATTTCAGACCTGAAATTGTCATATTTCCAAATAAAACGAGAAAAAAGAAAGAAACTTACTTTGCGATAACAAAGATGATAGACTGGAAGAAATTAGTCTTTTGACAGCGTTATTACAGAACGATTGATGATGAGTTTATTGATCAGATAGGATGAAAAAATATAGAAGCTATTACAGTGCTTTCGAAAGAATGAAATAGCTTTCTTTAATCGAATTGTATGTTCAAAAAATATTACCGTCGCCTCAATAGCTTCCTCAATAATAAAGTACACAAACATATACACACGAACAGTGTCAACCTGAAATTTGAAAAAAAAAAATGAAATATTGTTAGATATGATAATAAAAATGTCACCTGAGATGGTGGTGATTCAACGTCGTTACATAGAAATATTATTAACAATAGTACACATATTTTAACAGTAAAAAAAAAAAAAAAAAAAGAAAATGTTATTCGTTTATATAAATAGATACAGTTAATCATACAATAATAACACAAAAACAGGTTCATTATGTAAATTGATTATCTAAACCAAATTTAAATATAATTCTTTCAATTAAATTTATGGATTATAAATCATTTAAGACAACTCTTTTGGACATCTCAACAATATTCAAAACTTTAGATTGAAACTTTAGAATCTTCCTTTCTCTCTCTTCTTCTATCTCTTCATCGTCTTTTTTTTTCTCGACAAATTATATGTCAAAAAAAAAAAAAATGAAATAGATTAATTACACGGGTTAAACACATAAAATACCAGGAATTATCCGACAGAGCAATATATTGCATGCAGTATTCCGACGTAACATCGCACACATAGGTAAGTAATCCAAATATACCTGAGATGACAGTGATAATGCTCTAACATCACTACTATCATTACAGGTAAGTAACCCAAATATACCTGAGATGACAGTGATAATGCTGCAACATCATCATTATTATCATTACAGGTAAGTAACGCAAACATACCTGAGATGACGGTGATAATGTTCTAACATCACCATTATTATCATTACAGGTAAGTAATGTAAACATACCTGAGATGACAGTGATAATGCTATAGCGCCAAGTTAAAGAAAGGATATTGAATATGCTTAATAAATACTAAATCGATAACTACACATATAGGATAATAGTGAAAATATGTTAGACTAAGTTTCACAAAGGTAATATGCATATAAAAGGGAGACAAAAAAAAAACAAATCGCAAAAAGTTAAACGATTCATACAAGCGATATTAAAATGCTAAATCTGGTCTTTATAAATAAAAATTTAACAGCTTTTGTGTAAGTGCATCTGTACTTATAAAGGTGAAAAATAATGTAACAAATGATGTTAAAACACGATAGATGTTCGTTTAATATAAAAAAAAAAAAATAAATTTAATCCATGACACAATCAACCATTTATTTAGCATTAGTCTAACTATTAGTTAGAACAGAGAAATTTTTGCTAGTTACAACAAATTACTATGATTAGAGCTAAAAATTTATTCAAACTAATCTAGCATACTTTTCTAAATTCATTCAAACTAATTTCATTCGCTTTTTTACTCGCATTCTTTTTTTATCATATCCTACCTTCCTTTATACAATGAAAGAGATATTTAAAGCAATGTATTTAATTTTATTATTTTTGCTGGATTTAATATTCTAGTATGCTGCTTTTCACACCGTTCTCGACTACATTCATCATCATTTATCCTGAAATTAGCATGACAATTGTATGTGCTGTAAAAAATCTATTTCTTCTCAAAAGAAAAAGATAATAGATTTCAAAATGAAAAATTTGAAAATAAAGATAATAATTATGTAAAAAAAGAAATGAAATAATAGTCATCAATACCAAATACATTTCTATTTGCATTTTTTGGCAAACAGAGAAGACTGGCATTTAATCAGAATGAAAATTTTTAAAGCAAATGAAAAATATGCGAAGAAAGGAGAAAGGAACAAAAGAAAGAGTTAAAAAATAAAGCAACCGAATTATTGACACTAATTTCATTTTTTCAGAGAAAAAAAAAAATAAATCTTCCCATCGCTTCTTTCAAAATATCAGTTTCTATTATAACTTATATTAACTTCAGAACCAAAAATATATTTATATTTTCTAACTTCCCATAAAGTTCTTCAAATATTCAAATAACATCAAATATTTTGCTGATTTCTGAAATCAACACCTTTTGTAGATATTAATCATTTAATTTCTTCGAAAGTACAGTTGGATCTGACTGATAATTATTCTCGAAAATATATTATTCTCGAGATTATATTGATTATCAAATTTTCACTAAAACATACGCGCACTGCAATGAGAAGATATATTATCAAAACTTCAAATTCTTGATTGATTTTTTGTGACTCAACAATCATTTCAAACGAATGAAATTTGTAAGTTTTACCGATAACGAAAATGTAAATAAAGAAAAGATAAACACCTACAATTCAAAAAGTAAACATAATGAATTGAAAGAAAAAGAAAAAATAAGGATACATTAAATTCTTACAACTCTTACAATTTAATAAAGATTCTTTGACAATTACATTATGTCTTAAAAGATTAAAAAGAAATATTATCACAATATTATCACAAATATAAACATCACATAAGTAAAAATCTTATTACAGTTAATTTTTTAATCATTCCCACAAATGTTAGCTTGTTTTTTTTTTTCCTTTTTAAAAACGATTTAGTATTAATTAATCAGTTCATTAACTAAAATTACTTTTGACAACCAGAAGTGATTAATTTTCTGAAAAAAAGGAACGAAAATTGTTAATATTAACAAAATTTATTCACATTAATAATAAAAATTACAATTAACAAAAATTCTGTTTAACTAAAAATTGAAAAGAACAATAAAAACAATAAAAAACCATGTCGCAGAAGTAAAAACAAAAAGAAAAGAACCCAAAATCTTATAACAAAGCTACGGGCCACCATTCTACGTTAGCAAAATACGGCCCGCTTCAAGGGCCGTGTAATGTTGAAACAGAAATTTAACAAAGTAAAATTCAAATTTCTTAGAAATAATTGTAGCACTTAGCTAAAGTGATATATTCTTTTCCATTTTTTTCCAATCTTATCTTTCACCGAGAAGTCGCGGGGTTCATATGGTATATTCGTGGCATTTTTTCAGTCGAAATTCAAATTATCATAATTTTTTTTCACGAATAATCAACCAGTCATTATTATCATTATCATACACCAAATTTGCTAATATTCCATTGTAAGTTTAATATAACAAATGCTAACTAAGCCTAAGAATAATAAATTCCTCTTAGACATAATTTATAATAATGCAAACTAAAGTCTAAGGATATGATAAAAGTTTAATACAATAATGCTTTATGTAAGCTTAGTGTAATAGTTCGGATTAGGATTAGCAGTTGTAGTTTAAGCCGATGCATTGTTCAGTGCACTTCAAATGCAATCTTTCACTTTTTTTAAAAATCTTTTTTCATTACATTGAGGGAGAAAGAAAATATTAAATACATATGAAATAATAATACTAATTTCTAATATGAAATAATAATACTAATTTTCTAATAACTAATTTCTAGTCGAAATTAAATGTAAGTCTCATTTTTAGTTGAAGTTTTACTTCATTTTTAAATAAAACAAAAATAATTAGTAATAATAAATAATAATGATAATGACAAATTTATTTTTATTATAATAAATAATAAAAGAGAACAGTGGCAGTAATGTTCAACCAAAATTAAATTCCATTTTTAGTTTGAACCACAATTTTTGTTTTCAAATAAAGCGAACACAATGATTTTTTGTCGAAATTAAAAATGAAAAATTGGAGTGAATAAATATGATTCAAGTTTGAACAATAACAATGATAATAAAAATATATTTTTTTTAGTCGAAATTAAATTTTTTTTTTTAATTTTTTTCTTCTTTTTTTGTTTGAAAGAAATGAAATATGTAAAATATACTGAGTGATTCAAATTGTTATACCTAATTTTTTCCTTTTTTTATTTCCTTCTTAGTTATATTGTAAAACATACTATAACGGTGCTAATAATAGAACTGTTTTGGAGGCCAACGACAAATTTTACTACTTTCCGTCACATACACATACACATTACACACACACACACACACATACACACACACAAATACACATACACATGCACACACACATACACACATGCAGATCAGTTCTATCTAACGGTAATTATATCCCCCGAAAACTTGTAAAAGCTACAGGCAATAAAAGTTTTTTTTTTTTTTTTTTTTCTTTCTTCTAAACCATTCTTTTCGTTCATTAAAAAAAAAGTGAAAAAAAGAAAGGAAAAGAAATAGATGGAATTTTTAGTATTAGTTGCATTTTTAATCAAAATTTTTTATTGTATTTTGAAAAAGTGAAAAAAAATTTTTTTATTTTTTTATTTTTTTGAAAAAGGAAAAAAACGCTTTAAAAATGAAATAAAGCAAAAATGATAAAAAGTTTTGAATTTTTAAATCTTTTCTTCTTTTTCTTGGATTATTATGAATTATTACATTTTTATAGAAATAAAATTTCCCGTTTTTTTTTTTTTTTTTTTCATCATTGCATCAAATTTAAGCAAATTATTTATTTGATATGCAAATTTTCATTTTATTAAAAATATATGTTGGGTATTTAAATTTATTATATATGCTTTTTAGCTAACTAATATATGTTTTATCAAGAAAAGAAACTTTTTTTTTTTTGTAGATTAACTAGTAATGACAAGTTAACAAAGTAATATGTATTTTAGTAAATAAATATACCACTAAGTTAAGATTATATTTGAATGGGTAAAACTGTTCACTTTTAATTAAAACATAAAAAGTGATTCAAAAAAAAAAAAAAAAAAAGAGAAAAAGGAGAGAAAAGGAAAGTAGTTAAGTAAGTAAATAATTAATAGTTCAAATACAGGTGAATAAGATTTAAACATATTTTAAATCATACTTAAATGCATTCGAAAAAAAAAAAAAAAAACAGTAAATGAGTGAATGAATATAAATACGAAAACTTCCCTATCAAAAATTAGCCAAAAAAAAATAACAAAAGCTTAACATTAAATATGAAACATGAATAAAAAAGAATCGAATACAATAAAATAAAACGGAATAGAATAGGAATAAAAATGATCAAAGATGATTAGTAATAAGATGAAACAACAAAATTATAATGAAGCAAGAAGCATTTGTAAATGG